GACCCATCAGGTTGCAGTGCCATGTGAACAGGTCGTGCTCCAGCGGCCTGGTGTAGCAGGTTGAGAGGGGGGGTTGAAGAGAGGCCAAGTGAGTGAGTAGTGCGTAGACTACGCGGCGCGCATAGAGCAGCAAAGGACGCGTCTGTGTGTAGAGGCAAAAAGTACCGGGCGGACACCATGGGCAGGGGCTGGCGCTCGAGCTCGCGCAAGTCCGCCAACAACCGTCGTTGTGCTCCGCTGCTCATGGTTTGCCCTTACGCGGAGCGGCTCACCTCTTGGATGGACCAGAACATCAATGAATGAAAGAAAACATAAAAAATCCTAATGATCTAATAAAGTTGATTGACACAAGCAAACAAGGCAAACAAGGGTACCTGTTGGACCGTACGGCTGGAGCTACCTGCAAAGCTCAAAACATCAAGGTACAGCCACGAATGTTGTGCTGCCGGCAAACAAATAAATGTTGCTTTTTCACAAATCATTTCTTTCTGGCTTTTTCCTGAGGTTGGCTTTTACTTGGTTGGTTTGTCTGTGCTGAGCTCTTTCTCTTTCCCTTTCCTAGGGTGAGGGCTTTTTCTGCAGCAACGTGAATTCATAGGGTGTTAGCTTGCTGATGTCATACCAGGGTGATTGGTTGTTTGTGTTGCTCCCTGTGCAAGCCTTAGGGAACAGCTCAAGAAGGTTACCAACATCAACCTCATCTGCTCACCCATTGGCTGGGACAGTTTGGTCCATTGTATGTTCTCTCTTTGCTTCTACTCGCCTGGCAGAGTTGTCTTTGATGTGCATCAGAATTCCCATAACCTGTCATATTGTTATTCTTTGGGATAGAAAAGAAATTACGTTTTGTTGTGAATTTCTTCTTTCCCTTTGGCTTGTGTGCAGCAATGACTGAGGTGCCATTTGCAGTGGCACTGCAAGTGGGGCGGCAGACAGGCAATGCGGGGAGGGACCACCACAACAATGAAATTGCATGCAACTTGAACATCCACTTCACCACCATGCCCATTGAGGTGGGTGGTGGGTCTCTTCCCAGTACAGGCCAGCCCTGTCTTTCTTTGCTCTGCCTGGTTGAAGATGAACAGAGCCAGCACTGGGGTGGCCATGTCTGGTAATTTCTGCCACCCACCCACCCACATTCATGCTCCATTCTAATGAGCTGGGAGGTTGTGTTGACTGACCAGGCCACTGGGCTGCCAATACTGGAGTGTAACACCAGGCTCAATGCTGACACCCTTTGTGCTGCTTCATGCCAGCTGCCAACCATCTACAAGCTCCCTTGGTTGGGCTTCCTCAT